GAGGTGTAAGAACGATTCGATACGAGGTTGGGCGTGGGGTTTGGATGGTGGGAGGTACGCCCGCGTACTGAGAAAAAATTCTCGGCGTTTTTACTAAGGTCCATTGGTAACTTTACCATCTCACTTTTATTGGTAATTTTACCGAGACCGAATTATGAGATTACCAATAGAACCTTATTTTACCAACTGTATTTCAAGGTATGAAATAAAATACAGAGGAGGAAAACAAAATAAACATCCAATGAAAACTCGGTGTCAGTCAACGCAATGACAAAAGTTGTAAGGTTGCGAAGCGCCGATCCATGTATAAGAGGCTTCAATTCGCGCTCGTTAGTCATATAGCGGCCATAGCCTAGCGGCAAATGGCAATGTGCTGGCCTATCACCGCTGCAACTGGGGTTCGAATCCCCGTGGAGGCTCCGGGGATTTTACGCTCGTCTTCGTCAAAGGACCTGACGGCTGAACCTAACGGCAATCGGCTAACAGCGTAAACCCCTTTTTTTGCAATTTTATCGGTGATAAAGTCGCTAGGATCATCAACATCTGAGCGATTACACTCGATCATATCGGGATAAAATCGCAATTTTTTCGGGCCGATAAAATCGCAATAAAATCGCGAAAAGATCGAGGATAACCACTCAGATGTTGATGATCCTAGCGATTTTATCGCCGATAAAATCGTAAAAAATCGTAATTTAATTGCGAAATATCAGGATTTTTCCGTTGAAAAATGCTACTTGGGTTGATGTGTTTGTTGTGTTTGATGTGTTTGATGTGCCTGTTGTGCTTGATGTGCCTATCGTGTTTAATGCGTTTGTAGTGTTTGATATGTTTGTTGTGTTTGATGTTTGATGTGTTTTTGTCATATGTTTGATGTGATTGTCGTGTTTGGTGTGTTTGTCGTGTTTGATGAGTTTGCTGTATTTGTTGTGTTTGATGTGTTTGTTGCGTTCGATTTTCCTGTTCTGTTTAATGCGTTTGTTGCGTTTGATAAGTTCGTTGTGTTTGATGTGTTTGATAAGTTTGCTGTGTTTGATAAGTTTGTTGCGTCTGATGTGTTCGTTTTGTTTCCACTCAACCCACCTATATTCTATCTTCAAGTATACAGGGTGTCCCAAAAGTCCCTTCCACCCCCTCTAAAATTTTACCGAATTAATATATTGAAACAAAACTTCGGGAATGGCTCAAAGATCAATTTAAGCTACTTTCAGGGCCCCCCAAATTTTTTGCCCCCCCCTTCCCGGGAAAGGGGCTACGGGCCCTAGCTTTTTTTCAAATGGCAACATCCCCTTTGTGACACATCAATTCAAAGAGAATTAAAAATAAACATTTTTGGCGCAAACCGCAAGCTAAACTCTTGATTTTTGACAAACTGGCCACTGGTCAAATTTCAAAATAACGGAAATTTAGGTACATTCCCATGTTCGTCAATTGATTGGGATGAAACCTGGTTTTCAGAGATTTTTTGGAACGAAAAAAACGATTCTGGCATTATTTTTCCGGAAAATTTTTGCCTTTTTCAAAATGACGGCGGTCAATAATATGGCGACCTTGAGCGGCAAGATAATTCATTAGGTTGCTTATCGGTGAATTTGCATAAAACTTAGTATCAAGGTGCGTTTCGGCATGAGAAAGACGAATCTGTCATTCGATTTTTTGAAATTCTGAATAACTTCAAAATGGCGAGGAAAATGGTGGTATTACGGACGTTTACAGGTGGATTCACATGCTGCCATTTGAAAGTATTTAAGATTTCAGAAATGCAATGCGGAAGAGTCATTTTTTGTCGAACCAAAAACCAACAGGACCCAGAGTTTCATTCGCATCCAATCGTAAACGTCCGTATTACCAAGTTTCCGCCATTTTCTAGATGCAAAAGGACTGAAATGCATAAAACTGCATTTATCCCGATTAATCTAAGTTCAACCTCATTCAGCAACACTCATCCTTGCCAGACAACTTGATTTTAAATTAATTGAATTCTAAATAAATTAAATGTGTCAATGTTTAAAAATTGAGATTAAGTAAAAAAAAAAATCCAATCCCACATTGGTAGGTTATAGGCTATGTTACATTTTTTTGTTTACTGGATCAAGACCCCCTTCACGCTCTTAACCTCTCACCATAAATTGCGCTGAACACGTATCAAGTGGATTGCCAATTTAAAAAAAAAAAGTGTTTACCAAACAGGAAAATAATACATTAACGCCATTTCAGTTCGCCTTAAATTTCAAGGTAGGCAACACGTGTTTCTACGTGGTTTAATGGCGGTATTGTCGTCGTGAAATTACAGTTTGCCTTCAATTACTAATGTAGGCAACACAAGCTCCCACGTGGTCGAAGAGTGGTATCATCACCCGTGCTTTAGACGTTCTCTGTCTGCTAATTTGTTTTTAAGTCATATCGGGTCCGTGTTTGTCAGTAAAGTAGTTGCTCCTCTTAAAAGTTATCCATTAAGCTTTTTTTATTTTTTTTTACTTCCCGTTCAAGCACACGAACATTAAAAGAGAGAGATGAGGATGATGATTATGATGCTGATGCTGATGCTGATGCTGATGATGATCACGAATAGGAAAAGGAGAACAACGAATGGTGCAGAACAAGAAGAGTGAGGGAAAATAAGCTAAAATAAATTTAGAGGGGAGAAGAAGATAATGAAAGTGGGAGAAGGAAACAGAGAGCAGAAATGAAAAGTAAAAGGAAGAAAGCAGCGAGAGGGAGATAGAAATAAAATAAGAACGTGGAGATAGTGGAATAGCTGTTTCATCGTAAAATTGCACGGTTACTTGGAACGTTTTTAAAAAATAGCATTTCACCAAACTGGAGAAGATTAAAGTACCTAACGTCATTTCATTTCGCCTTCAATTTCACTGTAGGCAACAGGAGCTTCCCCGTGGTCGAATAGCGGTGGCACGCTCACTCAGGCAAAACAAGCTCCCATGTGGTCGAATAGTGGTATCATCCCCTAAACAATATCGTCCCCGTTATTGAGTTAATAATTTTTGGTGAAGCATCTAGACCCGTGACTTCAGTCACGGCCTTTCCGCTAGTAAGTAATATGGTCATAGGCGGACCTTTTAAAACCATTTTTTATCATAGAATTGTCAAATTTAGTAAGCCAGCACCTTGGTGCTGCCTTTAGATCGTAAATACACTTTTAAGAGTGGCGGTAGTCACCCCCGGTCGAGAAAAATGACATCCTACCAAAGTCCTGATAGCTAAGTGGTGACACACAGTGGTGTGTCTAAACACACCTGACTCCCTTAATTTGAAAAATGATTCGGTTTGAACTGGACTGCAGCTCAAACGACGGCACGGATTCCTACGATCTTGGTGTCGACGGACGCATCTCAATTAGGACTACAATGTGGAAGAGTGTCATTAAGATCCATTGAGTTTTCAAAAATTTATGAGCAGTTAAGGACCCAAAACGACGAAAATTTTACTTTACGAGGGGCCGTTTGGCGGGCAATTAGAATTTCAGGGTCCTGAGGAAGTTACTCTGATTCCGCGATAACGGTAAACCCTAGACCCGTAAAAAAGGTACCTATTGGATCATCATATTACCGTGTGTGCCGCGCGTTTGACTTTATTTTAACATTCCAAATGTTTTAGAAGATAAATTTCGTAAAATACGACTAAACTGACTCCCGACCTCCCCGTCATGACCACCTTTCACAACAGATTCCTCGCTTGCATGGTGACCGATTCCAATGGAACCTACAAAAGATCATGCTTGAGGATATGAGGATTTCATTTCTACCACATTCAATAGGGTTTCAATGCTCGGATAATTCAGCATCGGCAAATAACTTTCAAAATTTTAGCTATAATTTTTTGAATTTAAAAAAAAACCGGTAGTGGTTTAATGCCATTGGTTGATTCTGTTCAGGTCCGTCCGAGTTTCGGAGACGAAATTCCCCTCGTCGCCACCAACCTCCAACCACTACTGCAACTTAATTTTAAAGTTCAATTCATCTTAGATCCGAATTATTAATTAAACACTTATATTATTACGTCCCATTTGTTTTGTTTGAGCCACATAATCTACTTCATTAGTTTCTCTTAAAATGTTCAAGTGATTTCTTCTTATTGAACGATGAGGATTATGAGTGAGGTTAGGTTATGTCTAGCTGGCTGTGTCTCACCCAAGCGATAAATGTAATTTACGATAATGGAATTACAGATTTGTGCCAAAGAATCAAAAAGAAGCAGCAATTACAACCCTGTTTGCATTCTCATAAAAAACAGCCCCTACAAATGTCAATACCATTTCGTGCATTTGTACACAAGCGGAAAGCGCAACAGTGGATCGGAGGAATATTTCCCTCGTGTCACAAACGCTAGTCGTCGCATCTTGCAGACATGAAGTCTTTTAAGTGGACTTTATTAGTTATGAGTTAAGTTCTAAAAGTTACTGAATGTGAGCCTCAACCCTTCCTACGACATGCTACTGTTCACTGTGCTCAGACCAAAGTTCATTCGCTTTAAATTTTGCTATCAGCCTATGCGCTCTGAAGTGATTGTGTTTTTCTTCAGTACATGTTATTGGCGTGGCAATGTTTTCTGCGTGATTAGTCTTGACCGATTGAGCATTTTTGCAGGCAAAGACCCCCTACGATGTGCGATGTTTACTTTTTGCAGGCAAAGACCTCCTCGAATGTGCAGGCAAGATGGCCGCGACGCGCGACGGGAACTTAGAGCAGTTCGAGCACTCTCTAACCAATACCTACCTACTCTAACCCATCCTATCGTCCGTCGCCTAGCTCCCCACCGTATCCATCCAAGTAATCATGTTTCCAATGTAAAATGTCATCAAAGGTACCTAACGCTATTTATTTATGCTCCCATATTTCACCCCTTGATGCCTGACTGGTAAAATTTACCACTTTTTGGATCGTTATGTACTTTTGTAGGTATAAGTTATCAAAAGCAGAAATATGCACTATAATATCGCAGAAGATGCCTTTGAAGGGAAAGGTGAAAAAGGGAGACACTGGTCTAAGAAGAAGATCACATTTTATTGACAAGCTAACAAGTGCCCAACCAGGCTTCACGACCTACTAGGGCAAATCTCCCTAGCAATACATACTACCAACTTGACGGATACCACAATCTCCGCAAGAGTGCGAAGAAAAAAAATTTATGTTAATAAATTTTTTTCTAATGGGACAGAAAAATAAAAATCTGAAAATTATTTAACAGTGTTACAGAGAAAGAGCAATAATTCAATTTGTTACTCTGGAGAGTATGGTTCCTTAGGTTTAACAATGCGACCAAAAGTCGAAACACCAGGTTTAACTGAAAATTGTTTTTTGGTGGTTTTAGAAACACCTCTGCCTCGACCTTTGTTGGGTTTTGATATAGGTACATTTTTAGGAGTAACGTTGATAGATTGACTAGAGGATTCTGCATGTTGACTAATCGGTGACTTGAGATGTTGTGGTGAAACATCGGGTGAAGAGCTAGAATCTGAAGTTGACTGGGTCGGTGAGCCTTTTTGCGAAGGTTGGTTAGAAGTAGACTGTGGTTGAGTAGATAAATTTCCCGGAGAAGATTGAATTGATAAGTTCCTCGAAGAAGATTGAATAGATGAGTTCTTCGGGGAAGATTCAATAGATGAGTTCTTCGGAGAAGATTCAATAGATGAGTTCTTCGGAGAAGATTGAATGGATGAGTTCTTCGGAGAAGATTGAATAGCTGAGTTCTTCGGAGAAGATTGAATAGCCGAGTTCTTCGGAGAAGATTGAATAGCTGAGTTTGAAATTTCATCATGTGAAGTTGTACAAGGAGTTGAGTTTGACCTATCAGAAAGAACAAGTGGTGAGGTTTGAATAAAAGTTGACTCCGGTTGAGGGCTAGAGGTTGCGTTGGATACAGGAAAGAATTTTACCCGTTTTCTGGTCGTTGCATCAGCAGCATTCGGAACATCAGTGTTGCAATTAGACGGTGAAGGGTGGTCAAGAGTGATTCCGCAAGACAGTAATTGGTCAATGTGACGCTTGTGTTCTTGGTTTTTGTATTTGACCAGGTAGTGCAAGGCACCGAGTTTTGCAGAAATCACACCTCGCAGCCAGGGTTTCGGACTATTGTATGACCGAAACATAACCTCTTGATTTATTCTGAAGGAACGGAGCTTCTTTGGAAAGCTGTTGTCTTGTCGTTGATTAACCATGATTTTGAGATTCGGATGCATAGCATCAAGCCGAGTTCGGGTAGTTCTGCCGATGAAGAGTAAGGAGGGCGGTTGTCCCGTTGCTTGATGAGGTGTTCTATTATATCGTTGGACAATGGTGTTTAAGGAGTCTTGGAGGGTATGGATTGTTGCCGCCATGTATTTTAAAGAATTCTTGACGGTTTGTACCGCTCGCTCTGCTTGTCCGTTGGTTGCCGGATGGTATGGCGCTATTTTTTTGTGAAATAGGATTCCTTGTGATTTTAGGAATTGTTGAAAATGGTTTGAGACAAAAGCAGGACCGTTGTCCGAGACGACTGTGACCGGAGCACCGAACAGGGAGAATGTGTTTGAGAGTAGCTTGCAGGTTGCTTCACTAGTCATGGACTGAGAAGGGAAAACCTGTAACCATTTGGAGTAAGCGTCCACTACGATGAGCAAGTATTTGCCACAAATTGGACCTGCGTAGTCTATGTGAATTCTCTCCCAAGGAGCTGTTGGGTATTCCCATGGATGCGAGAATTTTGGAGGAGCTTTGCTGTGACTGAGACACGCCTCACAGGTTTTAGCGAGTTGCTCAATATCTTGATCGATGTTTGGCCAGTACACGATTGATCTGGCAAGGCTTTTCATTTTTGTAATGCCAGAGTGCGCAAGATGCAATTCTTCTAATATTCTTTTTTGCAATTTAGCTGGAATTACTAAACGGTGACCCCATAGAAGGCAATCACAAGCCTGCGTATATTCTGCTTGCCGTCCGGTGTAGCCAAGTGAGGTTAAGTCCTTCCCTTGTTGGATTGCTAGCAAAATTGGTGAAAGTTGTGGATCTTTCCTTGTTTCTGCTGCAATTAGCTGTGACGTTACAGGAAGTAGCTCAATTTGGTTGAGAATAAAAATATCAAAATCGTCGAAAGATGAGGAAGGTACACTGAAGCTGTGGATACGAGACAAATAATCAGCATTGCAATTTTGAGTTGAACGCCTGAATTTGATGTCGTAATTAAAGTTGGACAGGTAGGATGCATAGTTTGCACAACGAGATAAAGTAAATTTTGGAAGGAGAGCATTTGGTGCGAAGATATGAGACACAGGTTTATTGTCAGTATACAAGGTGAATTTTCGACCATACAAGTATTCAAAAAACCTTTTTACTCCCCACACAATAGCAAGAGCTTCTCTATCAACCTGCGGGTACCGTTTCTCCACGTTATTTAGAGCTTTACTCGCATATGAAATGGGTCTCTCCGTTTCATCCGGTAGGGAGTGTGATAAAACTGCGCCTAAAGCGAAGGGACTGGCATCGACTGCTAATGTAATCGGCAGTTTTGGATCATATGGAGTTAATACTTGGTCAGAGATCAAAATTTCCTTCAGTTTGTTGAAAGCAGCAAGGCCTTCTTGAGTCCAACTGAAAATTTTATGTTTCAGTATTTCTCTGAGAGGATGAGTGATTGTGGAGAGGTCTGGTATGAAAGAATGGTAGTAGGTTACTTTACCCAGAAATGTTCGGAGTTCATCAGCGTTTTGAGGTTTTTCGGCGTTTACTATAGCATTAACATGTTTGTCCAGTTTGTGGAGTCCATGCTGATCGATCCTATGGCCCAGAAATTCAACAGAATCTAGGAAGAACTGGCATTTGGGTCGGTTGAGTTTGATACCAATCTTTTCTAGGCGATCCAGAACCTTGGCTAAAATGAGAAACATTTCTTCTACAGAACTGGCATAGAGCAAAATATCATCAAAAAAATTTGTTGCGCCTTCAATGTCTTGAAGATGCGAATGGAGCCTACGCTGCCATACAGCAGGGACGGGTGTTAACCCATATTGTGCCCTGGTGGGCCTAATCAGACCGTGAGTAGGAGTATTCAGGGTCATCAATTCACACGATTCATCATCACAAACGAGATGCATAAAGGCATCAGTTACATCTAATTTACAAAAAACTTTGGCATCTTTCATTCCATGAAAAACTTCTTCTACTTTGGGAATCGGATACTCATCTGCTATCAGCTGTGGATTGACGGTTGATTTATAGTCGCCGGTAATTCTTAGTTTCCCATTTTTCACTACTACATGAGTTGGAGAAGCCCATCTGGAATGTGTGACTTTTTTATAGTGGCCAGATAGTAACTTTTTCTCAATATTTTGAGCGTAAGCCTCACGCATAGTATAGGGAAGTGGGCGAGCCCGTGCGAAGACTGGTTTTGCATCTTTGTCTAAGTGCCACTTTTCAGGAGGACCTTCTAATGTCCCAGCAGATTCATCAAAAATTTGATGATGTTTCTGTAAGAGTATTTGCAATCGATGTTGAACATTGGGTGTTAAGTGGGGGTTACTTGTTTGAACTTGCTTTACGCTGTAAAGTTTATCAAAGGACAAGAATTCTGCAAAGTGAACGATCCATTCACGACCAAAAATACTGTCGCATGGAAAATCTACAACAAATAAATTCAAAAACTTGGTTTTGTTTTTAAATTGTACTTTAACTTTGGCGTACCCCAGACACTTAAACGGTTCCTTGGTGAAACTAAAAAATGGCCTAGTAGTGGGATGTAAAAGAGTGTTTGGAAGCAGTTTCTTGAAGTTAAAGACATTGATGACGGAGCAAGCACCACCGGTGTCTAGTTCCATTTTGATCAGTTGGTCATTAATTTTGACTTCCAAAAAAGTTGGGGGTGGTGGAGCGTTAAGGATGGATTCATCTGTGGAAGAAACCTTATGTATGGACGCTCCAAAGTACGAAATACCTGTATCAGGATACTCCGTCTCCTGAAAATTGATGTTATTGGTGGGTTTTTTACCACATACTTCAAGCAAATGACCAACATGTTTACAGTAATTACACCTAGAGCGTCTGTACCTACAATTCCTTCTTTCATGCTCAACATTGCAAGAGCGACAAGAGACATTGATGAACTTCCTTTGATTTGGCTGAGTCGAAGACTGCTTATCACTAGAGAAGTTTGGCTTGTTACCTTGATTTGAGCGGTGTTGAGATTTAGAACGGAAATTTGATGATTGCTTCTTCTTGACCTTTGGTTTGCTATCGTAGAACTTGTGAACGGTTGCTGGCTGGTTTGGTTTCAGATGAGAGGAAGCCTCCTGTGATGCTTCAAGGGCTTGAGCGATCTTGAGAGCTTCTTCGAACTGATCTGGCTGTTTAGTGATAATCTCGTCACGGATGTCATCATCGAGCACTCCATGGATGAACTGAACAATTAGAGAATAATTTAAAAAATCATCGAATTTACAGAATCTTGCTGCCGCTTTGAGGCGAGCCGCAAATTCATGGACCTTCTCTCCATCTTTCTGGAAAACTTTGCGAAAATTGATGGCTTCAGTATATTTGTTCTTTTTCTTAACAAAATGATCGATGAGCATGGAACAAATTACATCAAAGGAGAGTGAATCTACCTTAGAGGGGTAAGCAAGGTCTCTGAGAGTGGAGTTGAGCTCTGCCCCCATGTGAATACGCAGATTGGCTGCCCATTCTTCCTGAGGTACTTTACACTGACCTAACTGAAGTTTAAACCGATGCAAATAGTCATCTAGTAATTCAGGTGAATTCAGATTATAGGATTCAAAGGTGAATCGGGGAGGCCGATTTGAGGATCCAGCCTGTTGAGATAACTGGAGTTTCGTGAGCTGTGTAACGAGATTTGTTAACAGAGAAATTTGATCATGGATGGAGGGCGATTCTGACCCTGTGGAACCATTAGTATCGTCAAGCATTTCAGTGAAGAAATAGTAATGAAATTGAGATTACCAAGAGACGTGTAGATTCGATCGAAATTCGAAAATCCGTTTCAACGTGCAACAAGTGAGTGGCCTAACCTTATCAGCAGCGCAGCGCCGTGACGGGAGCGGTGAAAAAAATTGGTCACCTGGAACGTGATACAAATGGCGCAGCGTTTCATGGTTTCGTGAAAGTTCTTCGTGCTTCGGATCCCGTACTCGTCGCCATTATAATATCGCAGAAGATGCCTTTGAAGGGAAAGGTGAAAAAGGGAGACACTGGTCTAAGAAGAAGATCACATTTTATTGATAAGCTAACAAGTGCCCAACCAGGCTTCACGACCTACTAGGGCAAATCTCCCTAGCAATACATACTACCAACTTGACGGATACCACATGCACAGATATTTTTTTAGCAAATTTTTCAAGAAACAGGCACCTTAACAGGAAGTTTCCAGAAGTTGTGCCATTGTGCCACAAAAAAAACAAGCAGTGAACTCCAACACAATGTGTTGATAAGGCGCGTCATTAACTCGCACATATCAACCCCTTTATTTTTCATTTACAGAGATTTCAAAATGGGCTAGTAGCACAACAAGAGAATTCATACGATCCAACACTTCAACGACGCACTTTGACGAGACCGTGTATTCTGAATGTAGAAAGCCATTCGAACGAGTTTTAGTTTTTTGATCTGCCCCCAGCAAAATCTTATCAGATTCTTAAAGAAAAGTGCTGCGTAATAATTTAAGCGAAGAAAGGAAAAGTTCTATCGAACTCCTGTAGGATAAAGTCGATTTAAAGGTATTTTGGGGCTAAAATATCTAAATCACCGGTATTATATATCCCGTTATATTATTGAGAAGAAATTGCCTCGATATAAATGCAATTGCATTAAATGTGTCTCGATTTTGTTATTTCAAACGTATTTCCATGCAAATAAGTTCAACCATGTCCATACTTTATTCATTCATGAATTGAAAGTAAGCAATCTACATCCCGAAAATCTACCAATTTGCCATGAAAAATTGCAGAAACTTGATATACCAGGTCGATGCACCCACTCGTTGAATTTACCAACTAATTTCGGGAGGGCAAATATATAAAAATCAATATGCTATAGTCATTTTGGGTGTATTTATTTATCATGAAACAATAATAATTTTAATCCCGAAAAACCATCAATTTTCCGTATAAAATCGAAAAAATCGAAATTTGTCGAAACCCTGACGTGAAAATTAGATTCTACGTGTTAAAATACTTACACATGGATATGCTGAACAGAAACCATTTGTGGACACAGTTAGCAGTCTACGGCAACATCAATTCAACAGAATAACGGTAAAAATTAGGTTATGTGATTTTTCCATTTGTTTTGATTGATAAATGTTATTATAAGGTTGATAAAAATGGATTGATAAAAAAGAGGACATAATGAGAATACTAAGGAAACAACGATCTCGCCAAGAAGCTAAGGTACTCTTCAATAAGAACATACCAAAAAACGACAAGTGGATTGCCATACCCTTCTGCCAAGGAATATCAGAACAAGCAGAAAAGATAATCCGGAAAGAACACAAAACCACTAATGTGACCTACCACAACAACCAAAATTTAGGACGTCAACTCATCAACACGAAAAAGAACCATACAGATAAATTAAATACCAGTGGGATTTACAAAGTCAGCTGCAAATGTGGGAAATATTACATTGGGCAAACAGGGCGTACTATAAATACCCGCACCAACGAACACCTTGCCAACGCACGCCTCAAAAAAACAGGACACTCCTCGCTCAGCGACCATCTCATAGAACAAAATCATGAATCCAAAAAATGCAAAATTGATGTGATCCATACATGTAAAAAGGGCAAAAAAATGAACTTGTTGGAACAAATGGAAATCGAGCGCGCGAAAACATCCGGCAACATCCTCAACACCCAAATTGAGTCGATAGTAACACCTCTGATAATGCCACGTTCCTTAGCCCCGTGGACAAGAGCCGAGGAAGAAGGATTACGAAATCAATGAATCGGTCGCGCCTCGTGCAGTTCTCAGTCAATTTTAGTCTACGTGTAGTTTTATTTTTATTTTTCGGTTTTTAACATTTTAAAGTATTCTCGAAACTCGAACGCGCACGGATTATAGTGCTAGTGAAATATGTGTGGCCTGAAGATGGAAAAAGGTGTTCCGAAATGTACAGCGCTACTCGAATGGAAGAATCAATTAAGATAACCAGGACGAAAAAATAAATCAGGTAATAACGGTAAAAATTAGATCGGATTTTAGCCGCTTCGCCCGCCTCTCCTCGTTATTTACAAACCGCTCCCATACTCATCTCAAAATTTTTCTCACAGCTTTGAGTTATTATCGGCTTCCATTTAAATCCCGGTTCGATGACCGAATCAGCTGCCCAAAAAGCAAGCCATTTTTGAAAGGTTGTATGAGAAATTCGTGATATTATCGGCTCTCAGGAAATCGCTCCATGGCTAGAATTGGTGGTAAAAATGTTTAAGTGCTTAAAATAATCGTATTCAAGAAACTAAGGCAATAGACCATGGAGTTAATTTCGTTTTAATAATATAACGGGATTTACTACTGGTGATTTAGCTATTATAGCCCCAGAATACTTTTAAAGCGCCTTTACTCTCCAGAATCTTGACGGAATTTTTTTTTTGCTTAAACGACTCAAGAGACAGTGTAGTTAAAAAATATAAAGCATTTTCGATTTTGACAAAAAAAAAAAATGTTCGTTCAGGCACACCGTGTATTGTATGGAGTACCGCTGCGATTCAACCTTTGTCTTCAGTTCAAAATTCTTACAAGGAAGCCCCTTGCAAGAGGTGAATTTTTTGTTATTTCTCCCAATTTTTTCTCCATTATATAATTGAATTCCTTGTCAAATTCTGAGGTAAATTATATTTAATTGTAATTTATACATTTCTTTTTTTCCCTTCGTTTTATTTTTTGTATGGAGAAGTTGCGTTGATTTCTTCGGATTTCGAATACTGTAACTTCCTTCTATTCGGCCGATTTTTATGAATGAGACCCCTTTTAATTCGTCTTTTAACGAAGAGTAAAGAAAAAATTGCTAAGTAAACGCGAAACAATTTTTTCGAAAATTGGACGGATCCTAGCGTGACAGTGAAATGGCGCAAAAAGGTAGGTGACATCACCTAGAAGGTAGGTGACATCACCTAGAAGGTAGGTGACATCACCTATTTTCAAATTTAACGGCGCGAAAGGGTAAAGATTAATCACCGATTCTCTTGGAAGAACACGTGAGCTGTTGTAAAAAAGTTAATTATTAATAAAACCTGTACTGCCGTAAAAGAGAAAATTATCTCCTGAAAAAAACACATCAAAATTAAGTAATTTTAATGTAAAAAAAAACAAAAGACAAAATCAAGAAAGCAAAACTCTAGACGCACTGATAAGAAACCTGGAAAACCGAGAATTTATCATGAGCACTGCGACGGAGGAAATGCGTGGCAGGTGTTCCGAGTCAGACAGCATAACCTTGGTAAAATTGATCACCTAAGAAGTAGGTGACGTCGCCAAAAAAATAGGTGACATCACCTAGAAGGTAGGTGACATCACCTAGAAGGTAGGTGACATCACCTAGAAGGTAGGTGACATCACCTAGAAGGTAGGTGACATCACCTAGAAGGTAGGTGACATCACCTAGAAAGTAGGTGGCATCGCCTAGACGATAGGTGATATCACCTGGAAGATAGGTGGCGTCACCTAGAGGGTAGGTGACATCACACAGGTCGCATTTGAGTTTCAGGGTTAAGTAAGGAAAAATTAAACATTAACTAGCTAATTATTGGATAATTTCATGGGTAGATAATAGAACATTTGCTTTGTGCTAAACATTTTTATATCTACAGTGGAAAAATATAATATATGTAAAAAAAGGATATTTAGAATATTAAGTAAAATAAAAACAAGAATGAAGTAAAAATAAAATAGATTAAAGATATGGAATGTCGTAAATAAAATATACGTTAGAAGCGGACGTTAGACAATGAAAAAAGTGAAAAACAAAATAGAGTGAAAAATAAAATGCAGTCTGAAAATGAAACATAGTAAATAAAATAAAATGAAATAGAGAAAAAAAGTAAAATAATATAGCGTGAAAAAATAAAAAATTAAAAAATAAAGTAAATTAAAAAAATAAAACATAGTAAAACAAGCAGTGAATTCCAACACAATGTGTTGATAAGGCGCGTCATTAACTCGCACATATCAACCCCTTTAGTTTTCATTTACAGAGATTTCAAAATGGGCAAGTAGCACAACAAGAGAATTCATACGATCCAACACTTTAACGACGCACTTTGACGAGACCATGTATTGTGAATGTAAAAGCCTAACCATTCGAACGAGTTTAAGTTTTTTGATCTGCCTCAACCAAAATCTTATCAGATTCTTGAAGAAAAGTGCTAGGGAATAATGTAAGCAAAGAAAGGAAAAATTCGGTCGAACTCCTGAAAGAGAAAGTCGATTTGAGGTACGACAATTAAGACGCGGAATGCCGCCGCGGAATCGTACGCGGCGGACGACCCGAGCGAGCGAGGCGTCGAGTAAGTTTCCGCTCCGCCGTGCCCGGCAACTAAGCAGCGGAATCGCCTCCAAAATTCCGTCGTGTCCGTCGGCAGTCTCGTCATAAATCAGTATTTGATGATAACTCGCGAGTGTGTGTTTTGCCTTGCTACGAAGTACAATGAACACTCACCACGTTTCAAAATATCCAATATTTTTTACGTGGATACCAACCAATATCTGTTTGTAAAATTTCTAAAAGTATTGTTGAATGAGCAAAACAATGTTTACAAAAAGTCCAAAATAAGCCTCCTATCAACAGTTTCAAATTAACGAATGAAACGTGAGCAGAGAGTTGCAACATTGCAAGCAAAGACACGCATTTTTTTACTTTCAGGCATGATGTTCAAAACAAGTTGGTTGATAGCAACGTCTAAATAAATTGTTCAGGTGCCGAAAAGCTCTAAAATAATTAGTTCGTTTTGTTTTTACAGATTTATCTCCTGGAAAAAAGGTGTCATATTTTTTTACCTACTTGTGTGGTATTATTTGCACCTGGCACGAGGTAGGAATGCCATGCGTTGATATCGTGCTACAAACATATTTTTATTTCATGAATCCAATAATTCACGATGGCCCGCAATTTTCCATTGGTGTTGCCACCGCGATCCGCGTTTCGGCACGTAGACATGAAAACTCATCGAAAACCTCGACGGACGAGGCGGAATCTCCGAGGGATTCCGCTCCGATCTGTTCTCGACAGATCGCCGCGCCGCGCCGTGACACCGCGGACTCCACGGCGTCGCTCCGCTCCTTAGTTGCCACTCCCATTGAAACGCGTGTAACAGATTTCCCTT